CTCCGCGCGCCTCGAGGGCCCCCTCTCGTGCTCTCCCGCTCCCGCCCGCGGGTGGCGCTCCCTCGCGGGTGCTCACCGCCCGTGATCCGCTGCAGCCCCAGCACGTCCTCCGGCCCGATCTGCTGCTTCCTCTGCAGCGGCCCCGGGCTGGGCCCCGGGCCTGCCTCCGGCTCCGACTCGGACCCGGATTCGGATTCCGCCTGCAGCTCCGTCTTGGTCTCCAAGCTCCGGCCCGAGGCCCCTGGAGCGGGCTCCACCCCCGTCCCGGCCCCGCCGCCGCCGCCCTTCTTCACCTTCATGGCCTCGCGGGGCCGCAGCCAGCTTGCTGCCGCGGCGGCTGCCTGCGCCGTCTGGAACCGAGGGAAGGGGGAGCGTCCGCAGCCCCGCCCCCGGCCGGGCAGGGGCCCCAGGTACCGCCCCGCCCCCAGGGTGGGCCCGGTACTGGCCCCGCCCACAGCCCGCCCACCTGGGCTACTCACCCGGGGCAGGGAGGCGGCCCGCCCTGGGCTTCTTTCATTTTTTCGATAGGGATTTTAAGGGGTCTTGGCTACCTTTTCCTTCTTACTCGCCGTGCTCTAGCCACTCCGCCCCTCCCTCTGCCCCGCAAGCAAGTTCCCACCTCAGGGTCTTTGCCTGGGATGCTCTTCCCCCAGATGGCCTCCTCTTGTCCTTCTGGTCTCAGCTCAAATGTCATCTGCTCAGAGACCCTCTCAAACACCCCCAGGCACTATCTGATCAGCCTGTTTTTTTCTTTCTAATGCATTATCTGAAATTAGTTTCATTTGCTCACTGACGCCGCCGGTGAAAGTGGAGATCCTGTCTTTGTTCTCTATAATACCCAGCACCTAGCACAGTGCCCCGTGCAGCCTGTGCTCAATACCGTTGACCCTTGAACAACATGGGTTTGAAGTGCGTGGGTCCACCTATCTGTGGATTTTTTTCAGTAGAAAATACTACAGTACTACATGATGGGAGGTTAGCTGAATCTCTGGATATGGAACTGCAGATCAACAGAGCCAAATATAAATTATACTCTGATTTTTGAATGCACAGAGGGTGGGCACCCCACCCCCGATGTTGTTCAAGGGTCAACTGTATGTTCTGTTTTTGAATTTATGAATCAGTTAGTATCTGAGGGCTTACACTGGTACAAGCTATTCTCTCCCAGACCCCCTGCTAGACAACCCAGGACATACCGAAGGACAATAGCCTACAATGTCCAGCCACCACAGGGCCCTCCAGGACATCGAGGCAAGAAGGGCACATGGCCAGGTGGAAGCAAAATGGACCAGTGAGCGCAGGAGGGCAGACACCAGGAAACCATTACTTACACACGAATGAAGAATGAAAGGTATATTCATACTTCATATCATTCCAATTCACATTCAACCAATGCTTCTTGAGAGCCCAGAATATGCCAGATACTATCACATGCTCATCACATTTAATCCTCACAACCACCTTGTAGGGGAGGTATCATTAGTACTATTTTAACAAATGAAAAACTGAGGCTCAGAGAGGATTAAGTGGCTTGTTCAAAGCTCCCCAGATGATTAAGTACAGAAGCAAGGGTTTGAATTCAGGCATGTTTAATCCCAAGTCCAGAACTTTCCCCGCTCACCACACTGCCTCTATGAAAGGGTGAAGGGAACCTTTGCCACACCCAGCATCAGGCTGCACACAACAGGTATAGCCAGCCAGGAGGGAGGGGAGTCAAGGAGAAGGTCCCAGAGGTGACAGGTGCTTGGCCCCTTCTATGAGAGCAGTGCTAGGGCTCTCCCTGAGGGGTTAGAGAGAAGCGTGGAGGGAAGGGCCCTAGAATCCAACCCAGGGCTTTCCCCTAATGCTCCCTCTCAGTGCAAGAGGACTGTGAGGAACAGGGCAGAAGCACAAGCTGCCCCTGCTCCAGAGGGAGGCAGAAAAGGGCCTTCAAGTTCAGGCCGGGAAAGGAGGCCCACATGATGTGTCTTTTGAGGATAGGGGGGTGGGGGGTGGGGGGATGAAGAGTGGGAGGGACCTGAGTCAGAAGAACGGGAAGGAGTGTTATACTTTGACTGCTGGAGTAGCAACAGAGCAGGCTGGAGACAAGTCATTTGTGGCAGGGCCCCCTATTTGAGAATCCAACCCAGGGCTTTCCCCTAATGCTCCCTCTCAGTGCAAGAGGACTGTGAGGAACAGGGCAGAAGCACAAGCTGCCCCTGCTCCAGAGGGAGGCAGAAAAGGGCCTTCAAGTTCAGGCCGGGAAAGGAGGCCCACATGATGTGTCTTTTGAGGATAGGGGGGTGGGGGGTGGGGGGATGAAGAGTGGGAGGGACCTGAGTCAGAAGAACGGGAAGGAGTGTTATACTTTGACTGCTGGAGTAGCAACAGAGCAGGCTGGAGACAAGTCATTTGTGGCAGGCCCCATTATGTGCCGCTCAATCTAACACCTCCCCTCCTGGCTGGAAAGGAAGGCTTCCTACTGTGATGCTGTCCTGCTCAGTCTATCTTCTCAGGCTTTTTCCAGGACTTTCGAGTCTCCAGGAAGATCTTGAACAGGGACAAGAGGATGGGCACGGCCATAGGCAGGAAGAGTGGGATGTAGATGGCAAACTTCTGGTCATCAGGGAAATAGAGGAGGTGGAGGAGCGAGGGATCGAAAAAGGCACGCTCTGAGGATGTCACAGCTTCCTGGCTGGCAACGAAGGCGGAGGCCAGGTGTCCAGAGGCCAACTCCTCCGCTGCCCTCTGGACTGCAGCTACAGCCCTGTACACCTAGGAAGGGGGCAGGGGGTTACCAAAACGTCCTAGGCATCGGCTGGTGGGGAGGGTGGGAGAGGGCCTCATTGTGTCTTCCGTCTACCAGGCAGGTTGCCTGGAGTTCGCCCAGGATATACGAAGGCCGGTATAAAAGGGCTAGGGGGTATCTTCTTAGTGCCTGCTTAACACCTCACACCCGCACTTAGACTCCTTACTAGGGAGCTGGCACTGACCTCTAGAGGAAGCCTGGGCACTCAAGGATGGCATGCCCACACATCCGCTGGACCTCAAATGGCTCTCTGGTTTCACCACACCCTGGGCCCTGCTGGCCACTCCAGTCCTAGGCCACAGAATCCATCCCCTGCCTGCTTACCTCAGATGCCACATCGTCCTTGATGACAATGTTGCTGATCTTGCCCAGAAGCTGGGCCAGGGAAGTGAGAGTGGTGGTGGCTGTGGCCAGGTTCTCCACTGACCGAGCCCAGAGCAGCCGGTCCAGCTCCCAGCTCATTATCCCTTCACTCTTAGACCCTGAAAACAGGCATTTTGGAGGCAGCTGGGGCTGAGCAATCCCAAAGAGCAACCTGTAGGAACAGCAAAGAAGGTCAAAGGGGCAGAAGGTGGGAGAAGATGGTTAGGATTCCTAGAATAACTATTAGGATTTTCGATCTCACCCAGAACCACAGGGGTTGTAGGAAGTGCCTTAGCGTCTTAGGGGGTGAGCAGCAACACTAAGTAACACAGAGCCTCAAGCCCCACTTTAACCAGTGGTTTTTCACTTTTACCTGTTTCTATATTGTTTCTATATTCTAAGATCTTGTGTGAAAAAAGGTTCCATGGCAAAAATATTTCTAATTAACACCAACTAGTTTAATCCCCTCACCCTGTCTACCCTCTCTTTGGACAAATGGGGCCCCTGAGCCTTAGTTAAGGGATGATCCAGGACCACCTCTGACAAGGCATGCGTGCTGTGCCTCTCTATTCCTTCACCATGGCAGACATTGCTAATCAATCAGAATCCTTTTTCCTGATGAACCCAGACACAGCCTTAGAATACTCAACACAGGGCATCAGGAAGCCACTATCAAAAGATCCGTTTGCACAAGAATTAACAGCTATTTTCTTAAGCATCCCTAATCACAGCCTATGGACCTGACATTCATGAGCCTATTTTTCCTAAAACGCTTTTTGTCAACAACTAGTCTTTCTTAAGAGAAGGATGAAGTGATCCTTGGAAACCTTTCTTGGTTTCCTTGGGGCTCCAGGCACAGCCAAGGTATCCCTGCCAAGTGAGGGTTTACTGCAGTCAGCCCAGGAGACTGTGGTCAGTCTCAGTGGCCTCGCCCCCAAGTGGATCCCCCAGAACCTCACCGCAACTGAGCCAGGAACACCTCCATCACCCGCACCATGTCCACCTTGACTCTCACCGGCAGCTCCGAGCCATTGTAGGCTTTGGGGTCCACATTGTATACCTGCAGGGGGAAATAAGGGTGCCTCAACATCACGCCAGGACCATGCACAGCTCTGCCCTAGACACTCTGGAGGCCATGAGAGGAAAGGAAGACATACTCTGTGCTCTTTAAAAATTACAAACCTAATAGTTTTGGAATACCTGCTATTAGGAGCTTTATATAAATTATCTCCTCTACTCCCTCAAAAATCTCTTGTTAAAGAAATATTTTTAATTCCATTTTACAGTTCCTGCCCATGAGAAACTCCAATCCAACAGAGGAGACAACATTCCCAACCTTGTTAAGACTCCCACAAACAGGGCCAAGATCTAATTTATACACAGAATAGTCCTAAGTCAGCGCAAACTGCAAGTGCAAAAGGGTCCTACTATATAAACACTGATGGAAATAGGAAGCAGTAGGGCTGGCGGGGGGCGGTGGGGGGCACGAGCTCACAGCACCTCACCACCAACCCCAACCCAGGCTGGGCCACAGAGGACACCAGAGGAACAACAGAAGGAACAGTCTCAATGAACACCCCTGACGTTTGGGCTCTGGGGTCTCCGTGATGTGACCATACCATAATGCCACCCCAGCGGGGGCTGTGGAAGGCGTTGGTGGCCACTGGAGCCCCATCCTTGTCCTGAATGTACAGGGGGGAGTGGGCAAGCTCAGGAACATAGAGTAGAAAGTTGAGCACCGGGTAAAGGGAGGCAGCGCTGGATCCTGTGGCACAAAGAGAAGGGGAGTCAGCACACCAAACACGCTGGGTCTAGAACTTAGGTCTAGGTCAGCCTCTAACTTGCTGGTCACTCACTCTGGGCCTCATTTTCCCCAACTGATAATCACTAGGATATCCTCCAGGCCTGGGTTTCTGTGGTAAAGAACCTCAGCATTCTCCCGAGATGTGCCACATACATGAAGTGCAGTCCTCAGCCTCAAACTGCCCCCAAATCGCCTCTCCTCCAACAGCCTCCCACCTTTCTCGGCAGTGCCATAAAGCAGTCCCTTGGGCCTTGTAGGAAAGAAGGGAGGGAAGGAGGGAAGCAGGGAGGGAGGAGGGATTCACCAAGGCCTCATGTGCTGCCCCACCCATACCCCTTGGTCCACACTGGCCTAACCCTGACGCCTAAAATTCCACAAGTAGTGATACACTCCCTTTGGTTTGCCTCTA